GGAGCGTAATTTTCCAACCAAGGGTATTCAATTGACCACCCTAACCAAAGTATAGCTTCGCCCCTGAATTCGAGTCCCGGATATAAAGTCGCCTTTGTTAGGAAGCTCTTTACCTCCAAAGTAAGATTTTCTAGCACGAATCTGGATTTAGTCGTATCTTAATGCGAGTACCGAACATCGACCGAGAAACAACAAAAATTACTATTATACCTAGAGGGATTATAAATACGCACAGGATTGAATATTAGCTAGACTATTAGGCATTTATAATATTAATTAGGTGACCAACTGCACCCACGCCTTATTTATCTCTTTCTATCTACCTCTTGTCCTATAATATTATTACTAGTCAGAGGAAACAATAAAACTCACTGCTACACATATTAATGCACTGCTTACACTTACTTTTCAATCTCCCATTTTTGACTTTCAAAGTGTACAATGAATTGTACTAAAAGAAAGTGACATATACACATTGTGCTAATTCATTAAATTTCCAACGACAAGAGTTACTATATGGATTTTGATTTCTACACTGACAGTGTGCAATTTGTTACACCATTAAGTTAAATTATCGTAAACTATTCATAAAGAGATGAGAATAACCTAAAAAGTATAATTGCCTACTTAATTCGGTATTTTCTTCTTTCCCAAACAAGGAGCTCCTGGTTACCTAAACCGTTGTTAGCATGTTAGCACGAGAGTGGATTGGAGGATTGAAAGTTACCTTAAGAAAGGAAGGGAAAGCGAAGGACAGAGACAATTTCACATGAAGAGCTTAGCCGCGTTTACTATTTGGAGATATGGCCCCAGGCAGGGTAAAAAGAAGGATTTTTTTTTCATTAGTCGAGAAAAAAGGTTCAATAAAGGGCTATGCGAAATAGGGATTGCTTTTGAGAAAAGATGGAATATATAGGAAGACGTGTTTCCAGAAGTCGGACTTGCTCTATTAGTAGGTCTAGTCTATATAGAACTGGTCTACTGCTTTTTAGTAAATAATATTGTTCAGTTAAATCGCACTAATAATGTTAAAATTTTACATTAACGGTGTATATTACTTAAATCTCTGGATGTGTATCGGCTCGAAATATGTCGATATATATCGGCTCGAAGAAGTCCTTCAATTAGTAACTATTATTGAAAAATGAGGCTCCCCAAAATTGGGGGCCTAAAGCACTTGCCTTAGTGGCTTGTGCATTAGAGCCAACACTGACTAGGGGGCGATTCAGGCCGTTTCTAGGGGGCACGTGAACACATAGTTTTTTGCCAAATTAGATATTATATATATATATTTCGTAAAATTGACCAATATAATATGTTGGCGCACATGCTCCAAAAAGGTTGAATGGTACACCTGGTTGAATGCTAAGTTATTTATTCAAGATACTTTTTTCCTACTTTTTCAATGGTGCACCCGTCTTCTAGAAATCCTAGATCAACCTTCTGGACAGGTCTTCTCTAACAAAAGGAAGTGTTTGTGAAGAAGAAGAAAATAGTACACACAGATTCATAATCATTGACATTATGCATGCTGAAACAATTGAGGCAAACTTATGTTATGCTTCAAACACCATAACCTTGCTTTATTTCCTAGGTAATGATGATGTTATGCTTGAAACACCATACCTTGCTTTATTTCCTTATAAATCAGTACTTAGTAACTATAGATATTGCTGTTTATCTCTAGTGACCATCAAAACAATCATTTCTCCTTTCTCATGCAAATGAAATGTGCGATTTGAACTTTATGACTTCTAATTAAATTCTAAGATAATGTTATCAGGTCTCAGTAATTGGATTATGAATTTAACTTTTGTAAATATTTAGTAAACCTTTTAATATAAATATAAAATTTGGACTGAAGTTACGAAATTCGTCTAGCTCTACCCTAGAAATGGGTGTACTGTTAAGAATTTAACCTACATACATTAAAGCGCCTTTTTTTTATATATAATATCATTATATAGTGTAACCAGTTGTAATAGGTAATATACCTTATTTTTCAGCATACTAATCTTACTTTTTATAGATTATTACATATAATTATATTTTAGGTGATTTAATAGTGTAAAATTTTCTTTTAATTGATAATTTAGTTGTGTTGCTCGGACTTTCCGAAAATGTCGCTCGGTGTATGTCGAATCCTCCAAAATAGTGTATTTTTAGAGGACCCGATACAAATACGGCATCATTTTGGAGTTTTTGGAGAGTTCACACAACATAGCAATGTAGTAAACTCAACTAGTAAAAGAGAGAGATGAGAGAGAGATGACCTGCTAAAGAATCAAGAAGAGTGGATTTGCCAGAACCAGAAGGACCCATAATAGCCATGATTCTACTTGGTTCAGCATAACCAGTAATCCCGTTTAGTAATCTTTTTGTTGGTCCATTCCCAAATTTTGGCAACATTACTGTTACATCTTCCCAAACTAAATATGCTGCATTTTGAATTCCAGATAATACAGTATTTTCTGATAATGCCACCCCCTTTTCAAGATCAAGACAATTTCCACCACTTGCTACCTCTATCTCCATATTCTTTGTTAAAACTCTTTATAAGGAAAAGAGAATATTGTCCTAATAGAGTTTTGTGTGGCAGAAGTCAGATCAAGACAGTATTTCTGAAATATCTTATTCAAGAAGATGGTAATTCATTGTTGTATATATAGCAGAAGATATGTACAGTTGATAGGGACGTACATACTGTGGATGATAAAAACCAGCTTGATGAATAGTCACGATCGAATGCATTTAAATTAAATTACCGTCTACATTTTATGCACTGACGGTGTAAAATGTCAGTGCAAATTCTTTTTACATAATCAGATCAATTATGATGTAGTTACAGGCTATGTTGCTCGGACTCTCCAAAAATATCGATGAGTGCGTGCTGGATTCTCCAAAAGTAGTGTATTTTTGGAGGATCCGACATGGATGCGGTAGCTGTTTTAGAGAATCCGAGCAACATAGGTTACACGTAAATCTCTGCGATAAGTGTAGCTACTAGTAACCTGACAAAAATAGTAACTTAGCCTGCTATCACATTATAAATTTGATATGTACATGAATGCTAACATATAATTGTCCTCTTTACTTAATACTTATAATGTTAGTAAATAATATACACTACCCTTAAAAAGAAAAACTTTAACCAGAGCTCTATAATTGAAGACATATTCTGAGTTTTGGGTGGTTTAAAAAGTTATCACCAAACTAGCTTTTAATGCAGTTGCTATGAGGGAGTTGAGAAGTACTGAGATTTGGATAACCTGATTGTTTCAAACAATTTGGGTTTTTAAATTTTTTTTGGCTGTCTTTCTTGCTTGCATGTGAAGAGGAGCTCTCAAGCAACGGTAAAGTTATTTTCGTGTGACCTATAAATCATGGGTTCGAGCGTGAATGTTTGCATTAGGGTAAGCTATCTACAACATAACCTGTAAAGTGCAATCCTTCCCCGGATCCTGTGTGAATATGAAAGTTCGTAATTCTATCACATCGCTTGGGTTCACAATATATTTTTGTACTTTTTTAGCTGGATTTTCAACACATATGCAAGGCCTAAGCCAAAGTTGCTGGGTTCAGATGAACCCGTAACTTTTTCATTGGCTACGCCTCGGGGGCTATGCCCCTCTCTTTTATTTTCTGTTTAGCTACGTATGGTTGAAAGGATCATTTGAGAGTAAAGGGGGAATAAAGCTATAAGGAGACAAATAATGCTGCTCCCTTTTTTTGTTGGAGTAAAAGCTCAGCGTTTTATTCCCGTTCAATTTTTTCCATTCTAAACAACACATAAGTCTCTATCACTTCAGTCGAGACCCTTTCAACCAGAGATAAGGTAAAAGGAGTTGGCTTTTCTTCATTCTATTTTAGAAACATCTTTTCTTGACGAAGAGAATGTTGAGTTTGTTTTGTAAATAATAAGGAAAAAAAATTGACGGGGTTTATAGTTTTGCACTTTAAGCAGTCTCGGGGCTACATAAGCTCAAAACTAGTCAATTGACATTATGAAAATTATAATGTGCATATAGATCTAATATTATTTTCTCGACATATATACTAAATCTTAAAAATTGTTAAACACATATAGCGAAATTCTAAATGGGAGGATAGCAGCAAGGGGCGAAACTATGCTCTTCTAAGGGTGGTCAATTGACCATCATTTGTCAAAAAGTTATATTGTATATATAGGTAAAATATTAAATTTTATTAAAGACATATAACATATATTGAACACCCTTTGTCGGAATTTTTTTTTTTTCTTTCAAGTTTGAACACCCTTGGAAAAATTTCTGGCTTCGCCACTGATAGTAGCATTTGTTCCCTTAAAATTAAGCTATGGAAGGACAAGGTTCCGATATCCTCGGGCTGGGCAAAACCCAGCATGTTAACCACTAACCAGGAATTAAGGCCGGTCCCGTTTAATGGGCAAGTTCGGGCCGATTTCTGGGTTAGACCAATCAGGGGCAGATGCACGCTTACCGAAGCAGTGTTACGCGATACCCTTCGTCGGAAAATTTTACTAAATATATGTATTTATACTGTATGAAAACGCATAAGTAGGAAAAAATAACATCACTAGACATAAATTAGGTCTTAGTGTGTTGGTTATGTGCTTAATTTTGCTCTAAGAAGTCAAAGGTTCTAACCTTAAGTGACACATTTTTCTTTTGCAAATATTAAACCAATAGACTAATTAATGCTATTTCTTGTCTAAAAGTATGATAATCAAAATTATATTCCAGTTCTTCTATAAATTTCGACACCGCTTACGAAAATTCCTGCGTACACCCCCGAGACCAACCCGTTTGCTATCCAAATCCTAGTGGTCTAACTAATTTAAATATACGTAGGATAAACCCATTAAGAATTTCAATCATGCCACTATACTCCTATATATCAAAATACATCAAGACAACAAAACATGCTTAGTTAAGCAGTAGTCACTTCAATTTAGTTAACAGCAAAAGAAAGGACACTTCTTTTGTATATATATTTGATAATACAGCAATTTGTCTGGCTCTTTAATAGAAGCAAATTTATTGCATTGTTCAACAAATGAAAACTCAATGACAATGTAATTGACCAGAATTCTATGATCTTATGAGATATTAACAGTATTATATGTTGAGAATCGGGTAACGGCAAGATCGAGGTGGATCTAAAGCAGGTTCAATTGAACCCACAACTTTCAGCTTGAGTCACTAATTCTTACATAAAAGACATTACATCGATTCTGAACCCATTGACTCTAAATCCTGAACTCGCCTCTGGTGCCAGAATTTGAGATTTATCGTTCCTATGGGATTGGAGAGCTAAGACCCTCTTGAGAAGACAATGACCTGAGAGTATGTTGTCTTCTTGAATAAGATAAAGATGGTTTCCTCTTGAATGACGGCCGCTTTTTGAGTTGATGCATAGTTCTCTTGGCGTACATTGATCGGAAAAATGGCGTTGCTCGCTCCTTTAACTTGAGAATAATAAAGAATAGAAGCCGATACATCAGAATGAGGGCGTATAATGCGAGTAAATCCCACCACTTGGAATGATCCAATGACAATTTGAACATATTTGTGATAACATCTTCCCCTTTTAGTTTCTCTCCACCAGGGATTAGTGGATCAAATACAAGTCCAATCATGTCATTCTTATATGCTCCCTGCAATTGTATCAATATATCATCATCAATGTACTTGTCAAAAATATTCTTTAATACGCGTAGAATATGCTACTAGTCTCCAATATGGACATAGCGATATAATTGATCAAAACCTCTATAGTACTACTACAACAACAAATCCAGTATAGTCCCACAAGTGGGGTCTGGGGAGGGTAGATAGTACGCGGACCTTACCCCTACAGTGAATGTAGAGAGACTGTTTCCAGTAAACCCTCAACACGAGGAAAAATGAGAAAAGAGCAGTAACAAATGCATCTTTATTTGTTACCTGTAAACCCCATGCCCCGTAACCAAGAAATGAAATCGGATAGCGCCAAATTGGCTTGGGAAGATCTGGCAGCAAACGGAAAAATCCAGCAGTCATCATCATGATTCCCTGTATACAGAAATATGGTGATGAGTGTAATTACTCGACAGCTATAGTATGATAAAATAAGATGAGAAGTAGTATTAAGCAGTTTGTACATACAAGCACGCCGGCTCCTGTTATGATTCCCATTAAGAAGTTTGGAACAAGTGAAGCTACAATCATCATGCAGCTCTCAACAACAGCGATACAACCAAAAAGATTTAGGACGAAAAACACATAACGAAAGAATCTAGCCCGAAACACCATGTAATAGGTTATGGTCCCGGTGATGAGTGAAACTGCAACTAAGAATGGAAATGAAGAGAGGAAGTTTGCTATTATGAAAGCTCCAACACCATAGTGCCCGTTAAGCCTTTCTTTGGTAAAAACCTGCAAAATGAGACATAATTCAGTCCTAAATTATTTCAAAATTCTTAACACAGTCCCAAAAAAAACTAATTGCCCTGCAGGCACGAAATAGCTGACCTATTTTTTACTTGGTAATCAAATAGGATGTTAAGTAGTTAAAGGGCAGTCGCTGCACTAAACTCCTGCTATGCGTGTGGTCCAAGGAAGAACCAGACCACAAAGGTCTATTGTACGCAGTCTTACCTTGCATTTCTGCAAGAGGTTGTTTCCACGGTTCGAACTCGTGACCTCGTGCTCACATGGCAGCAACTTTACCAGTTACGCCAAGGCTCTCCTTCATGTTAAGGGGTTAAGACTTAAGATAGTAGTAAATGATTGTTTACCTTCAATTCTTCTATGAAGGACGGAAAGCCTCCAATGGACATGAAAGTCATGTAGCCGGTGACAAAACCACCACAAGCTCCTCGAGCCAAGATTGCTGTGTAACTGGTGCCGACATCATAGAAGAGGGTACCAACAGCAATAGATACAATGATGTAAATTACTATGCGAGACCAATAATATCCCTTGTCTCTTGACATGTTTACAAATGATCTCCGCGTCAATGTTGAAAGTTGCTTTCCCCAACCAGCTTGACTTCCTTTTACTGTTTCAATCTCAACTCCTTGCTGCGAGCAAAGGATGAATTAGAGTGGCTTTAAAATGGAACAGTTTTAAAGCATGGAGCTACTAATATAAAGTTTTTGTACTTCTAACTCGAACTCTTCTATTTGATACTCATCAACATTAGTAAAATGTTCATAGTTTAGACAGCACAAAATGTTAATGTTTCAAGAACAACAACCTATACATTATGGAAACTGGTCCATCACATATTTCTATTAGATCTTGCAGCTTGTCAACAAATAGATTTTCTTCGCCATTTATGGGCAAGTGTAAGTCGAAATGCAACACTCACTGTCACCTTGCAAGTTGAGTAGCCAAGATTTCAGTAGTTTAGAAGAGAAAAGTAGTCAACATGAAAAGCAAATTACATTTAGAGCAGAGAGGTTTTTGCACACAAAAAACACTGATCAGACAAGTCTAAGGCAGTTCGACCCCCACCCCCAACCCTGACCGCACCCCCACTTGACACCAGACCCCTGACCGTGACGCGGCCAGGCCAC